TACCAGTGAATGTTACTCATGCTGTCGATTAGTAAATAACGGCCAGTAAACTGAATCTGAGATCGTCTTGACGTGCCTGATAGCTGCGTATTCAATGAGATAATCAGCAGCAGGTATTGTTGAACTGTTTCAACTATCTTAGTTTCGGTTAAAGCGTTTTTGAAATTTCACACTTTCCCATTTCCTGTCCGGATACGCGTTATGTAAACGCTTAAACAATAGTACTGCCTTTTGCCTTGCTCTGACTTACGGTGGCGATAATTTTGGCGCTCTTAGCTACGAAGCCGCTCTGAAATGCGTGCATCGCCTGATGCTTCGACGGTGCAACAGCCTGAAGATCAGTGTGGAAATCTGTCATCGTTAAGAGAATCTAAGTGTCTTTATTCGCGTTTGCTGCAATGGTCGGAGGCACAAACATCGTATGCTTGATATCCACCATTTTTACTGCATGCATTCCTCTACCAAGCGACAGAAAGTGGTCTTGGTGAAAGTACTATTTAAACACTTGCACGATGGAGAAGCTTGAATGCCAACACAAACTCCTCGACGATGTCAATTTTGTCATTGTTTCGATTATGACATCGCGCTGCTATTGGTCACCTGTTTTATCGATTTCCGTTCGAATAAACATCCAAAATGCTACTGGTTCGTCATCTCTTCTGCATTCCTAATCAGGCTTTCGGTGCTGTCCTCGATCCTAATTTATTTCGCTGTATTTATACTCAATTTCACCTAATGAATTACTCATGTACTACCACTTTGCTCTGCACTTTAAAGTACTGAATTCAAATCAGAAGCGCTGCGCACAAGGCTCTCTTATCAATCGCTAACTCCTCTGAGCAATTAATTCACTCTTCCCCCTGCTTAGGCACAAGCAGCCGAAAAAATGGTATCCAGTTGCAGTCCTGCAAAAAAATGTGGACAGCGTCGTATTTTGGTATAGTCATGCGAGAAAGTGCAAAATGATATGACCATTCCCTCCGATCCGCATTCATTACAGTTGCAATTCGACTTTGCCCCCCCCCCAAGAGTCAGCACAAGGTTAAAAGATGAAAATGAAAGATTCTGTGCCATCATCCTTCAAATCGCGGAACGACTTTTTAGAATGCGAGAAAATCATGTTAAAGGCATTTGTACGTACTCCGTACGAATGGCTAATATCCACTTAGCTCCTCCAAAAATGGGTTTAATTGTGCAATGGTGCCGCGTCTTTGATTCTCTTTGTGTGGGGTATATTTAAGCAGGAAACTGCTCTATGGTATTTCAGCATCTACGGTGTTAGATGCATCGCGCTTTATTTTATTCGCTAGGGTAGTCTCTTGCTCATCGCAGATGATTTTTCAAGTTCTGAAACATCCTACACACCACCGCATAAACATTGAGCATATGTCATTACATCGCTCCTGTAAAGCAGGCTAAAGCTCCATGGTATTTTAGCATTGCAGTGATTAAAGCATCTCATAAACTTCAGTCGTCACAGCCATGAAAAAAGGAGGACTGGAAACCTGTCTGTCAAACTACAGTGACTGTGAAAAAGACACCGCGGAGCTGGAGAACTTGGGTCGCACATTGTAGCACCCCTGCTTAAGAAGTGCGACCGTAGGAAATGCTCAATTATTGGGGCATTATCCGATTCAATCCTTAGAGATAAGTCTACGCAAAGTGTTAGATTCGAGGCACCGCAGAACATATGACTCAAAGATGCACATAAAGCACTCTGGCTACAGATCAAGCCGAAGCATTTTTGTCCAGGTTGTCGCCTTATGGCGGATTATGGAAAAATTGTGAGAGTTCGCTTATTCGTTCTACATGTGCCATGTTCACATGGACAAAGTCTACCATTGGAACTCGTTAAATTAACTATGCGCATGTCTGCGTACGAGTGGAATCGAGGACCAGCTGCTACGATCTTTCCAGTCAATTTATGTTGGCAGCAGGTGTTGCGTCAGAGTCAATGGCGTTAGGTCCAGACCACACATAGATGCAGCGTTGCACTGGTCTTCGCCAAGGCTGCGTTCTGCTGCCTCCATTGTTTGTTTTGTACATGCATGGGAGAGTCAGACACAGCTATGGCGACGAGTGTATCAGTGTATTAGATATGACACAAGAAGGATGCCATTTGAAAACGATGTTGTTTTGTTTCCATCTTCTGAAACTGATCTTTAGCGTTATATAGAAAGGTTTGCAGCCGAGTGAGACATGGCCAGCATGCGTTTGATCACGTCTAAAACGAAACGTCTAAGGCTTCCATGATCTGCTGAGCGTTGCGCTCTGATGATCACCAGTGAAACAATGGAACAAATGCAGAAGTTCACTTACATCATGGTAGTACTTACTGGTGATGGAAAACGGTTTGTAGGAGATCGACCAGCGAAATGAAATGACCAGAGCGCTCTATCTCAACTAAGCCAAACAGGTGTGATTAAAACACAGCTGAGTATGAAGACATGTACATGATCAAGTGAATAATCGTTATTACGCTCATCTATGGCCATGATTACAAAACTTTTACTCTTGGTACGAGCGACAGAAATGGGCCTTCTGAGACGAATCGCTGGGTTATTGCGTCTCGAAATGATCCGTAGTGCAGCATCCGAGAGAGTCTGGATGTACAGCCTATGATCCTCCAAACTAAGTCACAATTCTGATAGTTTTGGCACGCATTATGAATGCGAAATTGCTCATGCTTGCGCATTCGACCGGAATAAGAGCCCGGGAATGGCCACGAACTAACTTTGGCAGGTGTCTCGACACACGTTGCCATAGACTCTGGTTATCTTCTTTAGAAACTCAAACGCTTGCACAGTATTTGGAACGCTTGAGAATCTGTGTAACGCGTCTGTCTTCACGACCCGAAATGCACAGTCATCGAAACTGACTTGGTGACTACGCGTGAGCCATTACGCCATACCGTATTATTTGCATATTGATAGTCATTGTACCTGAGAAGCTGATATACAGAGGAGGTTACTGTCTTTCAGTAGTTCCGTGTTTCCCTGGCTGATTGGTAAGAAACGAGACTGTTTCTAAATTCTGTTGGTTAAGAAGTTCGTTACCAGGTTTTAATGAAGTCTGAAATTCATTATTTCAGCTCATAATTATGGCAGTTTGAATGCTTTTTGAACGTTAGAACTGTAGCAGTGCTAGTGAACGGAAACGTTCTTTATCCGACTAATATTCGTGCTGTTTTGGTCTCCCATAAAATTAGTTGCTTCATATAGAGATGTAGGATTCATTGGTTTAAATTTAATTTTCGAACAGCGTTTTCATTTTAGTCCTCCCCTTCTACTCAAGTCTGTGAAGTATGGTTAGAGCAGCGAAAGCTTTGCACTTCTTTGCGCCCTCAGCGCGATTAACTTTTATGACCTTAGGTGCCCTCTCCGGCCTGGTTATGTCCCCAGTCCGTCAGTTTTGATGACCGCTTTTGATTATGATTTTGGGTCGCGGAGGCAGAGAAGGGCTCCAACATTCCCGATCCTGTCCCGTTGTTCGGACTTTGGCAGAAAATAACCGGAATCTGTAGCGGAGTATGTCGGAACACTTGTCCCAGGTCATTCTTAGTCACCCTAGGGTCTTCCGTCGATCGGTTTGGTAAGTGATGGGGGTTTTACTTCCTTTCAGAAAGTATTCGCAAGACGTGCCCAAACTGTTGCAGCTGACTGCGCTATTTAGACAATCAACGACTGTACACCAAGGATCTGTCGGATATCTAT